AAAAAAAATATTAGATTAAAAATTATTTTGAACTTTAGTCAACCCTGTTATAACGCGTACCGCGTTATATGGAAACCGCGGTATAGGAAACTCACAAATAGGCTAATTCGTAGCGCGTTGTAAAAAATACATTGGTACAAATTGCTGCATTTTTACAGCGTTATACGGAAACGAATATATACAAGACATGATACCTAATAATTTTTTTATATTGAATTTATAAGATTTTAAATTTAAGGGATGCATATAAGGGAAAAAATGTAAAAGGAACTAAAGTAATTTTTTTTTTAAATTGAAGTAGATTTTTTTTAAAGTGTTATGAAAGAGCTCTGACACTACTAAAACCAATGTCTGATATAAACTGTGGCATGTTTTTATATAAAAGTTAAAATAGTCGATATTCAAACCTTTTACAGCAATTTCTAGTTACTAGAGTCATTCGTAGGTTGCGCTGAAGGAACTTATCTGAGGGTTGACTGTATAAGTTTATTATTATTTCAAAATGTTTATAATGAATAAATAATTATTATCAACAGGATATTCTTTTCTTAAAAGGTGAGTGTAGAACATATTTTTTTAATATTGTATACTAAAGTATTATTAATATTTTGCGTAAAATTTCAGACTGAAAAGATGTTACAAGATAGAAAAAAAATGGGTTGGTGATTGTTGAAAAAATTGGCATGGACAAAATCATGTTTGGATATGTAGACTTTTCTAGAGGATTAACATCGCAGGTAATTTATAAATTTATAAAACTATATATATATATATATATATATATATATATATATATATATATATATCTTATATCTTCTTATATATGAAAATGGAGCTCGATAAAATGTTAGGTATGGTAAAACGTTAAAATGCTTTTACGGATCTAGGCCAGTCTTAGTCTTGAAAATTCGTGCTAATCGGTAGATTGCCGGAAGGGTGAGATATTATTTCAAAATCACGTAGAAGCTTTACATTTTTAAAATGAAAATTTTTGTAGAAGCGTAATTTATGTGAAACAATAAACGGCGGCTCATACGTCAAATGTCAAATGTTTTTGACAGATGATGTTCAATTACGTTTAATGCGATGTTTTTTGTGAATATCATTTAATTGTAGTAAGTAGTTTAATTTAAAGTTTCATTTATACATACAGACACTATTAAACGGGTCGCAAGTGTTAGAAAGGATTATAAAATCAAATATCGATAATTTTTGAGATGTGAATATGAAAATATACTTTCTGACTTTGGCACTCTTTTTAAGCAAATCTTATTTTTCTCAAACTCGGTGCTTTGACATAACTCATTTGTATAATTATATACTCACTCGTATTCATAAAACATTTTCGAGATTATATTATTATTTTATAAGGTTATTGATATTAAGAATCAAAAGGGAATATTTTGGAATCGAATCAAAAGGGAATATTTTGTCGAATAACTTATTTCGAGTTATAACAGACAACAATTTATGTTAGAAGATTTTGCTCATAATACAAATAATAAATTTGGAACACATATCTGTAAAAATATCAATAAATTCAAGATTTGAATTTCAAAACAAATACTAAAGCCTTGAATACCAAAATGTGCCAATTCAATTTAAATAAAAAATAATGCAATGCCTATTAAGAAACCCAAAGAGCATTTATGTGTGGCATGGATTGCAGTGGGTAATTTAAATTTGTGTTAGTTGCTTCTATTGTCACAACGTTTGCCGGGCCAGCTAGTATATGTATATTAATATGAACTGATTGAGTAAAATAAGCTAGCAAAAAGCATGCCATTTTTAGGATCTAATTTTTTTACTCACACTTTAGTACATTTCTTTTTAAGGGAGAGTCTCTCGAAGTCAAAGAATTTTTAATTTGCCGTAGGGTAATTTATAGTAATCGCAAACAAAACGAAAATGAAGGAAATTGAACTGTTACAATGCGAAAAATGAAAAATTTAAAAAAAAATTCTAATTTTTTTTAAATAAAACAATCCAAATTTCCAATAAACTTCAAAAATGCTCGACAGTTCCGAATGAAATGTTTTTACTTATGCATATATACGATATGCCTCTTCTCTTGAAGATTATATAGTTATTGGTTCTTACGTTAGTTCTTAGAAATATGAGAGAGTCTCACGATGTTTTCCGTCGTCTAATTTATAAGCTTTTAGGATTCGTCCATAGCATTTTCAATAGTCTATTCGAAACTTTTTGAAACAATTGATATTAAACATCAATACACTCTTTTTGATTTTTGATCATTTTGCGAATGTTTAATTGCGGTACGAGAAGTTCCAGCAATTTACCTTGAGGCACGATGCAATGCACCACTAGTTATATATACATACATGCGTATATTTACCTTTCCTACTGTTAGAGCCCCATTAGCCGAAACCCTGGCAACATATAAATTTTCCCCTGTAGAAGTTCTCCCAGCCACAACAGCATCGAGAGGAACTTGCCCGTTTCGAGACTTTATCCAATGATATTTTGGTCGGACTAGCATCTAGAAAAAAAACTAGGTACAAGTGGCAATAGTTGACATAATCAACATATCAATTTATGATTGTTTTATAAGTTGTACCTGAAAACTCGACACAGGTATCTCGGCACAGTTGTAAGATACAAATGCGGCCCTTATTTGGGGTATGACTTTAGCAGGAAGAATATCACCATCGTGGTGGGCACGACCCAAATACATGTCGTGACCATTGTTATCATGCCCGCACTTGACTGCATTTTCCATTAGGGAGTGACATGTGTCGATGCTCGTGTCAACCTGGGAAATTAACGGAAACTATTTAAATTTCTGCCAAGTATTCCAAAATTTTGCTTGGGTCACTCTATTTTCGTTAACTTAACAGAAACTACAGGGTCCGGCACTCGAAGTGTAACCAATTGAAAAAGTTTGGAAAATTACTTTTACTCGATTCAAAGTACGAAATGCGTAAAATTAATTCAAAATTTAAAAACAGTTCACTTTTGCTCGATATGACCACCCTTTGCTTTGACTATGGCCTTTAGACGGTCCAAAAACAAATCGCATTTGCATACCTACACCTCTAATGCAAATCAACACAAAACTTGTGGTGTATGGCATCGTGCCTTCTGGCAAATTGCTGTAACTTCCTGTACCGTAATGAAATGTTCGAGAAATTTTAAACGTTTTCAAATATATTATGACAAATACTGTAACTTTCATTATTATTATTGCTATATTGTTATATCTGAGTGAGCAAATCAAATGTAAATCATAAATCAATTATTACATTAACAATTGTCATTTCATTTCGAATTCAATTTCAAAACAAATAGTTTAGTTGCTTAATTTACACAAAATTGAAAAAGTGCTCCCGTATAGTCACAGTCTAATCTGCATTTGCAAATAATTCTGTGCGACATAGTCACTTATACTGTACTTAGCTTGGCGGCATTTTCACATCTTTCAATAATTGGCGGCATTTTCACATTTTTCAATGGTTTTCACAAAATTGTAAATGTGCTCCAGTGCATAAACAGTCCAAACGCACTTGGTTAAACATTTGTACCAGAGTGGCGCTTAGACTGTGCTTAGCCTGGGTGATTTTTTGAATTTTCAATCCAAAATTACAAAAAAAAGGTTTTGAAAAAAAAAATTTAAGCAAAATTTATTTTTCGAAAGCAATTATTTTGTAAAAACAAGCAAAAAGTTTTTTGAATCATTCAAATCGGATACTTAGTTCTCTCAAAAACCGCCATTTTTTGCACATTTTGCTCGGTATCTCCGAAACGAATGGACCTGCCTTTGCCAAATAGTAATCACCACTTCTCCCCATCATTACGGACTAAATGCTTTTTAGATCATTCAAATCGGATGCCCCGTTCTCTCAAAAACTCGATTTGTACTTTCTGCGCTCTTTGCTCCGTATCTCCGTAACGGTTGGACCTGCCTTTGCCAAAAACTAATCAGCACATCTTCCTATCAATAGGGATCGAATGTTTTTTTGAATCATTTAAATCGGTTGATGAGTGCGCCCGAAAACGTGGACGAAAAAATGCGGACATACAAAACACAAAACACCCACACACACATCCATTTAGTTACTGAGGTATGCAAGTGAAATGTTCAGAAACCTTCAAAACGTCGAGAAATGCAAAAAAATTCATCTTAGATTTTCGGCCCATTACTATAACTACCCTACGGGAAGTTAACTAGTGGTGCATGGCATTGTTCATTAAGGCAAATTGCTGAAACGTTCCGTACCGCATACATCAATTTTTTCTAAGGTATGCCAAAATGTTCAGAAACCTTTGAAACGTAAAGATGTATAAAAATTTTCATTTTCGATTTTTTTGCGATTACTATAACTTACCCTACGGGAAGTTAATTTTAATATATTCTATTAAAATGTTTTACCCGTTTATGTCCCGGAGGATCCGATGTCTCAGAACTCGGTTGGCGAAATGGTACCGACTTTATCACTAATCTTTGGTTCGTGAACATTTTAACATTTAACACAGGTTGAATTCAAGTCTGCAATTCCACTTTTAAAATAAAAAAAAAGATAAGTTATCAATTGTATTCCCCGCCGTGTTTTTATGCTTGCAGATAACGTTATCTACTGTCGATTCTAGTGAAATTGTTAGATGATGAAGATGAGATTTATGAAATGGAAATTTTTTAATTAGCTTTAATGCAGTGAAGTTTATTCAAAAATAAATAGACATTTATGATGTATTTTTATGGCTTAGATAAAAATCGAAACTGAACAGTGACTGTATTGTGTTATTTTGGGACGTTTTTTCATATTTCTCGGAAATTTAACTCCGGGCATAATTTTTAAATTAGCTTAGCAGAAACTAGATAAAATTTACTAAAATTGTACATAAACTGTCTAATACACTTTGATACAAGAATTTTGAATAGTTTGAACACGCCCTAATGCATTTTGCATATTTACAATATACGGTTTTGGGACACTTGTACATTAAATAACTCAAAAACTTCGTCTGGGACACTCTTTTTAATTTAACTTATCAGAAACTAGACAAAATTTTCTTAATTTTCCTTCAAACAGTTTAATATCCTCTTCTATGAAAATTTTGAATAAATCCCATGTGAACTCACCTTTACATATTGTTTCAAGCTTTCCATACAAAATTCCGGAACATTTTCTTACATTTTTACGAATAACTCAAAAACTTTGTCCCGGTACACTTTTTTTTATTAGCTTAGCAGAAACTAGATAAAGTTTACTAAATTTCAAAACAGTTTAATATAGTCACATATAAATTTTTTGAATAAATTTGATGTAAACAGGCCCTTACATATCGTCTCAGTTTCCATACAAAATATATCTATTATATATATATAATATGTATATAAATATATATATATATATATATATATATAATATATAATATTATCTAATACTGCATGCACAATTTATCATCGATTGATTATTATCTCTTTATCCAAAAATACAGCATGGAAATATTTATCTTATCATCATGTCAGTTCACAAACGTCTACGTTTCTGTATCCATCGATTTTTTTTATAGTTTTATTTAATAATGTCAAAAAAATAGTGCGAAATTATGAACAACCTGCCAGGAAAACCAGGTATATTCTATTAAATATGTGTACCCTAGCGGCAAGTATAAAAATATGATAAAAAATGATTCGATAGGAAAATAACTGCAGATTTTATTGCTGTTGGACTTTATCTCAATTTTGAAAAAAATATAAAAATTTTGAAAATAATTAGAAATTACCAAAAAATTCAAATTTTTTATAAAATTTGAACAAATTTCCTGGAAACATACACATAAGTTGTTTTTAGAATACTTTGGTCGCCCAATTTAATAAGCACATATAAATTCACAGTATGTATTTATAATGAATAATCTATTTGAAATTATTTTAAACAATTATTGATTAACTTCCCGAAGAAGTTTGTTTTCATAAAAAAATCCGATTCTCTAGTTTTATGTTTTCTCGACGTTTCAAGCCATTCTGAGTCGAATGAGACCAAATTTGGAAAAAGTATGTGTGTGTGTGTGTGTGTGTGTGAACAGATTTTTTGCCGTAAATCGACGTTTTCTCGAAAACGGCTGGGCCGATTTCAAAAATTTAAAAGCCATTCGATGTATCTCGACGTCAGTTTTGTGCGACGATCGGTCAAGCCGTTTCTTTATAAATCGCAGAAAAGTGAAAAATTTTTCGTCTACGTTTTAGCCCGCAATTCTGAATCGATTTTGAAAATTCAAAAACCGTTCGAAAGATATTTTATAAAGTTGGGAATCGTGCTGATTAGTTTTTCGTAGAGATCGGCCGGGCCGTTTTCTTGTAATAAAGTTTAAACAAAAAAAACGACGATTTTTATGATTATTTTTTTGACGGTAGATAGTCTTTTAGATCATACTAAAATATTACGGCCCTACGACAACTGGTTCAGCTTTAAAAATTCGTCAAAGTTTGCAAAAATTGGTATTGTTTTTTTGGCATTTGTCAAAATTAGATTTTTGATCGACGTTTTCTCAAAAACGCCTGAACCGATTTTAGAAATTTAAAAGCCATTTGATGTATTTCGGTGAGGACTATCGTTTATCAGTTTTGTGCGACGATTTGAAAAAAAGTGTTAAACTATTCGTCCACATTTAAGCTCATCCTACCGAACCGATTTTAAAGAATCAAAAACTGTTCGAAAGATATTAGTTGGGAATGGTACTGATTAATTTTAGGTAAAAATCTACCGAGCAGTTTTTTTGTAATGAACTGTTGAAAAAAGAATTTGAGCCGATTTTCATGGAACATTTTTTGGCGATATACATCATGGTCTTTTAGAACTTACTGTAATATTATGGCCTTACGACAAGTAGTTTAATTTAAAAAAATCGTCAAACTTTGCTAAAATTATTATCGTTTTTTTTAAAGTAGGATTGATGAAGTATATTATTTACACTTTTTTTTTTTATTAAATCGATTATTTACACATATCGGGAAGTTCATGTAACTTGCCTCAAGGCTAAATACCATACCAACTAGTTTATTGCTTGTTATCAACAATTAAATTAAATTTGTTAGATAAGCTCAGCAATTATACTTAATAATTAGAATCATTCTTTGCATAGTTAATATTGATGTTACATATCCAACTAAAAATTTTTGTGCAATTTTCTAGATAGTATTCAAAGAATTTGAATTTACATCATGTAATTGAATTTACATCATGCATTTATTACTTGTCAAAAAGACTATTTGATAGCTGTAGTTCCAACAATTTGCCTTAAGGGGGTTCTTCGGTTTTTATTTATTTTTTTTTCGATTTTGAGATTTTTTGATATTATGAAAGCTAAAAACCTTAGAATTATTTAAAAAAAAATCATTTCAATATCTATTTTTTTGACGAAATTGTAGATATATATATATCTCTATATGTATGATCCCCTGAAAGCGTTTTTTTATCGCTCCGCGAGCTATTGTATGCCAGCTGCTCTCTTTTTCATTATAATACCTCATGCACATGACATTTTTAATGTGTCAGCATCTTTGAACACCATGGTGTATTTAGTACATTAAATTAAATGGTGTATTTAGTACATTATATTAAAAACTTTAAATAAGTTTTTCTTAAATTGACTTTTTTCAATGCGGTGCCACAAATTAAAAAAAAAAACTACAAGTTGGATCGGCTTGCATTTTTTTTTAATTTGTTCACCACTGCAATACCTACCTCAAACAACTTGATAACATTACGCAAAAAAATTTTGCGAAGCTTTTCGTCCCCAAAAAAAGGACCTTTTTAACACTTTTTTTAAATAGCTGCCATTTTTTTCCTTCTTGCTTTTTTTCTTTCATTTTGGTAGGGGGACTGGATTCAAACTTCTTCTTCAACGTAGTTTCGTTTTTTTTTGTTTCAGGCGATGCGCAACGGATTTATCTGTGGCACCGCAAAAGAGATCTATTTTGCAATGCCCACTTTGGCGCCCCCTGGTTGAAAAATGACGGCAAAAAAATAACCATGAAACATTTTTTAATATTCTATGATTTTGTAATTTTTGTTTAAAAAAAACCGCATGTCTCTATGATAAATACATTTCGAGAAAAACGAAAACAAATACCTTGCAATTTTTGTAACAAAAAAAGAACAACTCCCTTAAATGTATTTTCTAACTTTCTATCTACATTTTCCCTCAGGTTCCACTTACCAAACGATCCATCCCCAAGAAACTTTTTCAGGTCACGTCTGGGTCGAAACCGACGTCAACCATTGTCTGGCCCTATGCGAAACCGGGGTTGTCGGCGGTCGTGACGTCGACGGAAGCCAAATTTATTTGGGCCGGGCCATTCACAACGGCGACATCCTTCCCGCCAAAGTGATTCCTGGAAGGAGATCGGCCTACGTCTCGTATTGCGGGAAGGAGATCAGGGTGCATCAATTTCAGGTAAACAGGAGGACAAATGACACTGGAACATATATTTAACTAGCAAACCCGACGAACTCCGTGTCGCCACCAGATGGTTTCGTGAGAAAAATGAAGAATTTTTTTGTTTGTTTTATATTTGAAAAGGAAAAATTTGATTTTATTACACAACACTAATGAATTTATTTCGATTACAAAAATTAAGTGTTGTTTAGTTGAACTTCTCTAAGTAAATGAAAGTGAATCCGCAAATTATCCGTTTCATTGAAGTGCTCTTTGGTAAACCACATTTTTTGTTTTTTGTTCTGACGTTGATACAAACAAAGCGGATGGTTTTCCAACTCGGGAACAGGCAACGTATAACTGCCCATGTGAAAAACAATGATTTTCTAAATAATCTATTTGAAATTTATCCCGCAAACACTAAGCGATTGGCCTTGAAACTTGTTATTGCGAACGCAAGGCGAACTGGAAATTGCAATCGTTTGAAGTCAAACGGAAGACCAGTCGGAATCATTGGTATGTCACCAAATTGCCAGCAATTTTTTATTGGATGGTGAAATTCAGTGCGTGTACATCATTATACTTTGCGGCAAGATGTGCTCGTTGACTTAACCAAGCATATTTCTGATAATTCTCACTAATGTCATTACTCGAATTTTTAATTACGGTGCGTGAAGTTCCAGCAGCTCGCATTAGGGCACGATACCATGCACAACTAATTTTCTTAGCTATAAACCTTGCGGAGCCCGAGACCTTTCCAACGAATGCAAAGTTGTCGAAATCGGTTCGTGCGTTCTGGTTTATCGTCAGGAAGGAAAACCCGACTTATTTTTATATATATATATATTTAATTATTGAAAATTATACTTTGAAATAACTGACAGTGAGAATCAAGATAACAAAATTTACTGGGTAATTTTGTATCATAAAATAGCGTTGTCATGGCAACGCTATCTCAAACTTGCTCCGGGTTAGTGAAGCTGTAAAAATGTCTATCTAATTACTGTGCGTTCAGGTGTATTTAACGTATAAACAAGCAAGGAAACACCATCTAGAATTAGATTATACTTTTTTTGTTGACAATATTCCGGAACATTTAAATTTTTTCTCATTTTTTATTTTTCAATAAGTGTTAATGCAATTTTCGACTTTGATTTTTTGTTTATAATATCTCAGTATTTTTCATTTCATTTATATTTTTCTTCAAATTTCTACATGCCAAAATAATTTGATATTTACTAATAAAACACGCACACAGGTCGACTCGCGTCGGGTATAAACAAAGTTTGTAGCGAAAATGTTAATGTACGTATTAAATTTTGATAAAAATGTGAAAGAACTAGCAAAATGTAGAAAAGGATATCGATTTTGATAAAAAACTCTACTGACGAGCAAAATTGAATAGGGACTCTACTGACAAGCAAAATGTAAGAAAATATTTGAAAAAAGACTCTACTGACGAACAAAAAGTTAAAAAAAATTGAAAGGGACTTTACTGACGAGCAAAATGTTAAAAATATATTTAATTAGGGACTCTACTGACGAGCAAAATTGAAAATGAATAATTGAAAAGGGCGAAATGTGAAAAAATCGAATGGGACTCTACTGACGAGCACAATATAAAAGAATATATAAAAAGGGACTAATGACAAGGAAAATACAAATTAAATAATTAAAAGCGGACTCTACTGACAAGCAAAATGCTAAAAAAAAAATTGAAAGAAAGTGACTCTACTGACGAGCAAACTGATGAAATATCAAAAAGGGACTCTACTGACGAGCGAAGTGAAAAAAATATTAAAAGGGACTCTACTGACGAGCGAAGTGAAAAAATATTAGAAGGGACTCTACTGACGAACAAAGTGATAAAAAAATTGAAAGGGACTCTACTTACGAGCAAAGTGATAAAAAAATTGAAAGGGACTCTACTGACGACCAAAGTGTAAAAGATAGAGAAGGACTCTACTGACGAGCAAAATTGAAAATAAATATTTAAAAAAAGACTCTACTGACGAGCAAAACGTAAAAATATCAAAAAGGACTCTACTGACGAGCGAAGTGAAAAAATTATTAAAAGGGAATCTATTGACGAGCAAAATTGAAAATAAATAATTGAAAAGGGCGATATCTAAAAAAATCGAAAAGGAATTAAAAGGGACTCTACTGACACGCAAAATGTCATTATAATTATTATTTTCATATGAATGTTATTGTTAAAAGACTTATTAATTAGTTAACTAAAAATTTATAATTCAAAAACACTTAAAAAATTGTGAAACAAAATATTTCTTTCATTAAAATACCTAAAAATTTGTGAAAGAAAATACTTATATTGTAAAAGTATTTATCTGTTTGTTGGCAAAAGAATAATAACAATAATTATAATACAAGACACTTATAGTTAAAATATCGTAAAATACCCTAAAATTTGTTAAGCAAAATCATTATTTTGTAAAAGTATTGCAAAGCTCATTAAAATACTTATTAAATTGTTAAAAAATACTTGCAACAAACAAACTAGTTATATTTAAAAATAATTAAAATTAACTAAATATAAATAAGTTTATAGTAAATAAATTAAATAAAAAACTAGCCAGAACCTCAATAAACGGTTACAACAACATAAAAACAATTCAAACTAGTTGGTTTGGTATTTAGCCTTGAGGCAAATTACATGAACTTCCCGATATGTGTAAATAATCGACTTGATCAAAAAAATGTGTAAATAATATACTTCATCAATCCTACTTTAAAAAAAACGATAATAATTTTAGCAAAGTTTGACGAATTTTTAAAATTAAACTACTTGTTGTAAGGCCGTAATATTACAGTAAGTTCTATAAGACCATGATGTATATCGCCAAAAAAAGTTCCATGAAAAACGGCTTAAATTTTTTTTTTAACAGTTAATTACAAGAAAACGGCTCGGTAGATTTTCACCTAAAATTAATCAGTACCATTCCCAAATGATATCTTTCGAACAGTTTTTGATTTTTCAAAATCGGTTCGGTAGGATGAGCTTAAATGTGGACGAAAATTTAACACTTTTTTTCAACAGTTAATTACAAGAAAACGGCTCGGTAGATTTTCACCTAAAATTAATCAGCATCATTCCCAACTAATATCTTTCGAACAGTTTTTGATTTTTTAAAATCGGTTCGGTAGAATGAGCTTAAATGTGGACGAATAGTTCAACACTTTTTTTCAAATTACAAAGAAACGGCTTGGCAGATCGTTGCACAAAACTGACAAACGATAGTCCTCACCGAAATACATCAAATGGTTTTAAATTTCCAAAATCGGTTCAGGCGTTTTTGAGAAAACGTCGATCAAAAGTCTAATTTTGACAAATGCCAAAAAGACCATACTGATTTTTGCAAACTTTGACGAATTTTTAAAGCTGAACCAGTAGTCGTAGGGCCGTAATATTTTAGTATGACCTAGAAAACTATGGTATCTATCGTCAAAAAAATAATCATAAAAATCGTCAAATTTTTTTTTTTAAAAACTTTATTACAAGAAAACGGCCCGGCCGATCTTTACCAAAAACTAATCAGCACGATTCCCAACCAATATCTATCAAACGGTTTTTGAATTTTCAGAATCGATTCAGAATTGCGGGCTAAAACGTGGACGAAAAATTTTCCACTTTTCTGCAATTTACAAAGAAACGGCTCGGCCGATCGCCGCACAAAACTCAGAGACGATAGTCCTCATCGAGATACATCAAATGGCTTTTAAATTTTTGAAATCGGTCCAACCGTTTTGGAGAAAACGTCGATTTACGGCAAAAAATCTGTTCACACACACACACACACACACATACATACACACACACACACACACACACACATACTTTTTCCAAATTTGGTCTCATTCGATTCAGAATGGCTCGAAACGTCGAGAAAACATAAAATTAGCGATTCGGATTTTTTGATGAAAACATAAACTTCTCCTTCGGGAAGTTAATGAATAAGTAATAAAATAGCTAATAGTTAATTAAATTATATCAAATTTGCAAAATATTGACATGAGCCTTATTATAATATCATTATACTAACGACTTGTAAAATAAATAAATAACTGAATAAATAAATAAAAGAAAATATTTGAAAAGAAATTTTACTGGCGAGCAAAATGTTTTAAAAAATTGAAAAGGACTTTACTGACGAGCAAAGTGATGAAATATTAAAAAAAAACTCTACTGATGAAATTGAATGAAATATTCAAAATGACTTCACTCGCGAGTAATAGTCGACAATGGATGTTATTTACCATTGACACTCGTACACACAGGTCGTTCTAATATTAAATTTTCCTTTTATAGATGTTGGTGCGTCCTCAATACAAATGGGTCACTTGTCAAAATGGTTATGTGCCACCAAATGCATTTCCTGCAGGTGAAACATTGTACGGAGAAACTTTGTATGCTGGAAGAGTTACCGCACGAGGAGCCACCACCATCGGAAAGGTATAAAAGAAACTAGTGGTGTATGGCATCGTGCCTCAAGGCAAATTGCTGGAACTTCCTGTACCGTAATAAAATATTCGAGAAATTTTAAACGTTTTCAAATATATCATTACAAATACTGTAACTTTCATTATTTTTGCTATCTTGTTGTATCTGAGTGAGCAAATCAAATGTAAATCATAAATCATTTTATTTCGAATTCTATTTAAAAAAAATAGTTGCCTAATTTGCACAAAATTGAAAAAGTGCTCCCGCATAGTCACAGTCTAAACGCATTTGCGAATAATTCTGTGCAACATTTTCACTTATACTGTGCTTAGCTTGGCGGCATTTTCACATCTTTCAATAGTTTTCGCAAAATTGGAAAAGTGCTCCAGTACATGAACAGTCTAAACGCACTCGGGTAAACATTTGCACCAGAGTGGCGCTTAGACTGTGCTTGGTCTGGGCTATTTTTTTGAATTTTTAAGTAAGTCGGAAAAAATAAAAGAAAATATATATATATATATATATATATATATATATGTATATATACTAGCTGACCCGGCAAACGTTGTTTTGCTAAGTAAGGTATTTCTAAACAATTTCTAAAGAATAAAAAAAGAATACTTTATTTTAGGAGTGTAAGGATGTGTTGTTTGAATGGTACAGACAATGAGGTATTATAAACACAATAAACCCCAAAGTCTACTTGTATAATAATGAATTATATAACTCATACTAACAATATTCGTTTGTCCATACTTTGTTAATACAATCAAGCTGGAAGTTTTATACACTTTCTATAAAAATGTGGTATAATTCAATCCAAGTGTTTTTTAGTCTTTAGCCATGGTCAATGTTCAGTTGTTCATTTTTGCCCCACACAGATGTAAGTTTTTAAAGTGGTTACATAAAGAAAACTGTTGAATCTCACTCAAAATTAACATTACATTTTATAAAACAATTGAATAGCGTGTAGTTAAAATTTATATTAAAGTCTCGTAAACTAAATCACAGTCAAAAAACCCAAAATACAACAAAAGGAAATACTTCCGTTATGGATTTTCAAAGATTCCCAACTATCTCCCGAGAGCAAAGCCATAAGAATCAAGGTAAAACATCTATTTCCCTCTACTTTCAAATACTGTTGTTGAACGATGCTTAACTTTAATGGTTTTTGACACATCGGTGGTGGACCTTTTTAACCCCGGACCTTCATAAAATACTATTTTTTAGATAAATTCTGGGAAATTATAACTGACAAAATGTCCCTTTGATCGATACTAAATTCTTCAGGTTCTGAATTTAAATAACATAAATAAAAAATAATATATCCTAGAAAATGTTTTATAAATACCAATGAATATATATAATTATACAAATGAGATCTTTCAGAGCACCGTGTTTGAGATAAATATGCCAAAAAGTGCATTTTCATATTGACATTTCAAAAAAGTTGATATTTTGAGTTTCTAGTAACACTTGCGATCAAAAACGTTTAATAATGTTTTTGTGTATAAATATAACTACGAACAAAACTACTTACTACAATTTAATCATAATTAAATGATATTCACGTAAAACATCCCTTTAAACGTAATTGAACATTATCTGTCAAAAACATTTGACATTTGACGTATTAGCCACCGTCCATTGTTTTATTCAAATTATGCTTCTACAAAAATGTTCAAATTAAAAATGTAAAGTTTCAACGCGATTTTGAAATAATATCTCACCTTTGCGACAACCTACTGATTAGCACGAATTTTTTCAAGACTAATACCAAATCGGTTTAGCCGTTTTCTAGATTTACCAAATAATTTTATCGAGAGCTCCTTATATATATATATAAGATATATATATATATATATATATATATATATATATTTATCTTTTTTATTACAGGTTCATCCGAGTCACAAGTGCTGCTACATCCCTTTTTGTGGAAAAGAGGAAAAATACGACGTGTACGAGGTACTGGTGATGACACAACCACCAAAGACACCACCGCCATACAGTTATTATTAATTGCAACAAATAATAAAGTAATCAATAATTTTATATATATATACTAGATAACCCGACAGACTTTGTCCTGTACCCGTGTCTACAATTCAAAAGTTCCACTTTTTTTAGTATCCTATACTATACTTCTTAATATCCTGCCTTTGTGATTCATTTATGGTCTTTTAGCATGAATAGTATAAGAAATTCAGAAAAAATAATATAGAATCTGCGGTAAAAGAAGTATATCACACTTGATTTTACCACACAACAATATTGCTTCAATAATTTAGTCTATAATTTTCATAATCTCTTACCATATATTAGTTGTTCTTGGCAATTATAATTTCTAAAGTACATATTTCTTACTAATAATTTAATAAACATTATTGTTTATGTTCAAATCTCAGATGAATTAATTTGTAAAATCTAGTTCACTCTTCAATATAAGATCAACTTGCTAAATATTCCATATCCAATGCCAAACAAATGAATTTTTGACACACGAAACAAAATTCTAAATTATTTTTTTAATAAGTAGATTTTTGATTTATTATTGTGTTGTTAAATAATTTAGTGAAGTAAACCAAAATGTGACATGCATAAGTTTAAAAAAATAATGTATATGCAATTTTAGACTTGTTGCGTTATTTATTAAACTGAATTATATAATTTCATCTGCCAAACCATATACTGTTGACTGTATTTTAAATTATTTTAATTTCAGGCATATCTCAGCTGCTTTTCGGCAATAATAATGTAGACATTACACATTTTTTTGTATATTATATTCTAATGTTGGGTTGTCAAATATCTCCCTTCCGCTTTGTGCTCTTGGTTTACAATACAAAAAGGCGGAAGGGAGATATTTGACAACCTTATATTATCTAAACTCATTATTTCAGCTAAGAGAATTGACATTTGACAGATGACAGTTCAAATGTTTTTCAATGTCAAATAAGTGTTTTTTTCGTTATTTTTTCCATTTATTTCTACAATATTACTATAATTTTATCAT